TCACCTACCTAGGTGTGGCCTTAAAGGGACAGACTCACTCCCTGAGTCATAAATGCATCAACCCAATCTTCCATTTCCCAACCCCCCATACCATAAGACAGCTTACAGCTTTCCTGGCAGTTATAAGATTTTGCAGAATTCAGATCCCTAGGTATGTAGTCCCTGAACAGACACCTTTTTATGCTCCTCCTAATATTCCTATTTGGGTCTTAGATAATGTATGGCCACCCATTTCTCTTAGAAAACTTGACTCCAACAGACTCTGCTCCTCTGGCTGACTACCTGCCTTCTCAGGGAACTTCTCAGAGAGCATGCAAACCAGATCTTTTCCCACCCTATAACAATTTCTGTTAAACCAGGGCATCTTGTTCTCCAAAAAGGATCTTCTACCCTCTCCATTGGGACTTCGATGGACCAGCCCTCATCTGGTCATTCTCATGACACCCACTGCTGTCAAGCTCAATGGGATCCACCAATGGCTACATCTCTCAAGAAACAATTAGAAAAATGGAGAAGGGAACTGGAGGACTCTTGAAATTGTCTAGGGGACAACATTTCACAGTGGTTCTCCTGGCCAATGCCCGTCCTAATGCCTGTGTTTCTTGCTCTCTTATTCTTAAGCTTCCTCCCTTGTATCACACTGCATGTCTGCTATTGCTAATCAGAAATTTAACCAGTTGTACCTCCAGGGATACCAACCTCTCCAAAACGTGAGGATAGTTGGCTGATACCCACCATGCGGAGGTCGGAGGATTGGCTCGAGACTCTTTATGACCTATGGCTACAAGAGACCTTCATCAACTTCAGGGAAGAGGAAATTTTCACGTTTGGAGCCTGGGTGTACGCCATCATGAGACTCACTACCCCAACACCATTTGCCAACTAACCCTCCCTTCCCCTACGCCACCCCTTGTCAGCTCAAAGAAGCCAGAGCGAACACAACACCCCCTTCCCTAACAAACAAAAAAGGGAGGAATGTTGGCAATAATGGCGCCAATAGGTTTCAGTTCTTACTGCACCCTTAAGCTTCTGTTTTCCAGGGTCATGGTCCTGCCTCCCAGGGTCACAGTCCTGCCTCAAGTCTAGCTTGAATCCTCCTTCTGCCCCAACCTCCAATCAGCATGAACCACAAGATCCTAACCAATCAGATCATGCTGAGTCTCACTGAGGGGTATTTAAGCACCTGCCCTTCTCTCTCTCTCTCTCTCTCTCTCTCTCTCCTCTCTTGGCTCTCTCCCTCTCCCACCCGGCAATAAAGAATCTCTTGGCCAGATCACTCCTCTCCATGTGGTCACTTTTGGGGCCTATATTTCCTTACAATTTTTATTCCTTATTGAGGTAAAATGGGTTCTAAGCCCACAAGAAATAACTGAATACAAGCCTGATTTCACTAATATTGAATATATTGGGTAAAATTATGTTAACTTTCTGCATTTTGTTTTAGCAGCCAGTATGGAGATTAAGAAAATAAGATTTACAAGATAGACTTAGTTAAGTTTAAATTATAGTTGTGTTGAAAAGTGATTGTGAACCTTGTGTTAGTCAACTTTCTGTCACTGTAATGAAAAATCTGAGATAATTAACTTATAAAAAGGAAAGGTTTATTTTGGCTCACAGTTTAGTAGGTTCCAGTCCAAAATCCAGCATACTATTGTTTTGGGTCTCCAGTGGGCTTGCCAGATGGCAAAGCCAGGGAGCAATAGAGAAAAGAAAGGGCCTAGAGTCCCAGAATTTCCTTTGAATGCCTGCCCCCAGTGTTCTAGAGACCTCCTGTAAGTCCCTGCCACTTTAATGTTCCACCCCTTACAAATAATGCCACCCTGCAGACCAAGCCTTCAGCACATGAACCTTTAGGAACACTTGTCAAACTATGGCACAACTTCAACTGCCTAATTTAAGTTTTCTTATCACACAATGGAGACAATAATGTGTAAGGATGCTGGAAGAATGAAAAGAATGTAAAGTGTTTAACATAGTGCTGGTAAATGATAAGCTCTCACTCAAGGTGACCCTTGGAAAAAAAATTACTACTACAGTGAACCTGTTTGTGGTGAAGGGAATGCTGCAATCTGAAGATGTTGCTTTCTTTTGGCCAGGTGCTAACCCTATTTGGTAGAGCTGATAACTTTAGTGGGGCTGAATTTGATTCAGTAATTGTAAGGACTCGGGTCTACATATTTCTTAATGCAGACACAGGTAATTTGAATAAACTCATCATGCCATAATGGGAACCTCATGTACAAAAGTTCTGTGTCCTGCAGGAAATTCCATTTTGGATTCAGACAATCTAGCTTGCTCATGGTAAGTGGCCCTGGCAGCTACCAGTCTTTTTTAGGAAGTTAGGAGGAAAAGGAAGATCTCCCATGACTTCTGTAATACTTCTGTGTCGCCTGGTCTCTTTCAAAGAATTTTATATCTTTCATTAAATAAGAGCTTAATCTAACTGTAGAGTGAATATATAGATTCTTTCTACCAATATGTAGCTCTCCTAGAATAATCCAGTGAACATGGTCAGATCATTTATTGGGCATTAAAAAATATAAATCTGTGATATGAGTCAATTTAAATTGTGTTTCCTCGAGAATTAAGGAGAAAAAAATTAACTCTTGTGTAATCCATGCTCACGAATTGAGTGCTAACTTGTTTTTACTAATTGGAGAAACATCTTATTTTGTGTAGTCAGCATCACATTCACAACACCACAGACAGTTTTCTTACTATGTATTTAGGCCTTCCCCAACTCACACCCGTGGGCCTTATAAAATCCCACTATGATTAGATCTGATAAAACAGGTCCCTTTAGATCCAACATGCCACGTGAACCTATTCTTTGGTCCCTTGATCAAATTTAGCTCAAGGATATAGAAGCATCATACAAAGAGAATTGGTAATAAGTCAGAGTTTTGTCCTCACTTGTGCCTTGTTCTGTTAAGTCATACCAAGAATAGGAGCAGAAAGTGAATGCTGGGAAGGGGAAACATAAGGGATCTATGGTGTATTTTTCCCAAGCTGCAGAAATTATAAAAACTGAGAAAGGATGAAAAGCCAAAAGCTGTTCTATGTGATAAGTCTTAGATTTAACCTACAAAAGGACAAAGAGAAAAATTCCTACAAGTGCGTGGAAGTCATTAAAGCTGAAGCAGGCTAGCATAGAACATCTACCCACACAGCATAATCATAAGCTTAGAAAAAGATCTAGGCATCAAAAACAATTCCATATTTTAACATGTTTTTGTAGGAGAAAAATCATTATTATGTAATTCCTAGAGGGATGATAAAATTTCCAGGACAGAGCAAGTGAAGTGAATACCATATGTAGCAGATGCAAATGAGCACTAGAAGTTTGGTGTGACTGCAATTGCAGAACTAGCACTTTTGTTAATATCAAAGGGGCATGGGAATATGAGAAATCCAAAAATGTGACAGGGATAAGATGTGTTAAATTTTTTTATGATAAACTTATTTAAAGTGTAAATAAAATGTTGATCAGCAACAGAAAAAGAATTTGAAGTCACCGTTGACAGACAGAATATGAATTTCCTTTAAAAGAAACGTTCAGAAAAATATCCTACTATTTTCTTTATTAGGCTTTAATATGCTATTGTTTAATTTTGTGCAGTATATTAGACATGCTTTTTTATTTCAAGTGTATTTTTGAATAATTCATAGAATCGATTTGTAATTCAAGGAACATTTTGATTATATTTGGAATTTCTCTATATATTCTAGTTAATTATATCTGTGTTAACTTAATTTGAAAGCAATGTTATGAAATATTTTGTAATAAACTTCTTTAGTTATCATTTAACTATGTCATTACACTTGGAAAGTATGACTATATTATATATAAAACAATAACTGAGTATGATAATATTAATGTGCATATGCAATATATTTCATTTCTTCCCTTCTATCTATCTTCACATTTATTTTTAATTTTAATGTAATACATTTTCATTTAAGATAGTTGAAATACAAAAAAATTAAAAACTACACAAACACACCCAATCTTAACCTTTTGGCATGTTTTGATCCCAGCCTTATCTTTTGGGGTGACTTCTATAAAGCCAGAGCACAAGCAAGCATTCTTCTAATTAAAATGCTGTTAAGATTTAGACACACATAAGATATTAAAATAAGAAATACTAGCATGCATAAATAAGAAGTACTAACATTTAAATAGGTAACTGTTGAAATAAAAGTCACAAAAATAAATCTCTTTGAGGAAAAGAATATCATAGTTCAACATTCCTTTCTTAACTTCATAAATTATCTATTTTAAATTAGAATTTATGTCAGATCCAAGAATTATATTTAACTTCTGATTTCAATGAACTTTCAACATGGCACCACTGAATAATCCAGAATCAGTTAAAAAAAATAACAAACCAAGAATTGGGGGAGAGAGAGAGAGAGAGAGAGAGAGAGAGAGAGAGAGAGAGAGCGCAAGCAAGAGCAAGCAAAATACTCCATATTTATTATATGTCAGTAAAAACACTTAAATGTCTGAGTTCATTGTTACTGCTTCCAGGTTTTATAGATCAAGAGAAAGGTACAAAGCAATATGCCCATGGATTTCTATAAAAGCCAGGAAAAGAAAAGTCAGTTATAATTCAAGGCTTAAAGTGCCTGTTCACTGATTACAAATTCAAGAGGATTCTGAAAAATTTAATACACTTGGATCTTTAATCTGTCACAAAGGCAATGCCAACTTTGGGCAAAGCTGGAAGCCTTGAGATGGACGAAAAAATAGTACAAAATTTGCCTCTGGGAGCTTTGTTGTGGGTGTTCAGTGGACTGACTGAAGCATGCTGAGGATTTTCTCAGCTGTTCTTGGCTCAGCAGGATGGAGGCAGAACTGAGGCAGCACCAGGTGGAGAGTGTCAGAAAGAATGAGTAGCACTAGCTAATGCAAACAGGAAGAGGTGGTCTTGCTCACTAGAAAGGGGACAGACCTGGTAGCCAGGCCCCAGAACTAACAGGTAAGTTAGTGTACATACAAACACACTCCGTGGCCTCGCGTGCATGCCAGTGCTTGCAGCCATCACACTTCCTTCCCGTGGCTCCTGGGCGGCACGTGCAGAGCCCTGTGACTGGGTCACAGGGGACAGGCAGAGAGCCATAGGGGTCACACTCACATTCTTGGCAGGAACCTCCAGGGCTGCGTGGGCTGCCAGTGTAGCCAAGGGCACACCTGGATTTAAACAGTGACAAAGCAAAAAAGGTTAAGGGCAAGTCACATTTCTAAGTTGGTGTGTGTGTGCTGTTTTGTGCAAAACTGGTATCAAGAGTCTATAGGGTTGAGTGCTTGCCTAGCATGCCCAAGGCCTGAGTTCAGTTCTGAGCACTGCCAAAATCATAATAATAATCATAATCATAATCATAAACCAAAGTTAATGAAATGTTTCCTATAAGGGTTAAATAGTAAATTTTATACTTTGGAGGTCAGGAGGCAAAATCAAGTTTATGCACCGAGAAAGAAAATTTCAGGTGTTTTTTTGTTATTATTGCTGATGGAATTCAAAATTTAACAGTAGAATAGAAATTGTTTTATAATACTAATATGCTAAAGAGAAGAGAATTATTAATAGAAGTCTTTCTGAGGTTTCAAATGTTACTTAGATGAATTCAGATGAAGTGCTTCATGTCAAGGTAAGCGTAAATGTTTCCTGTACAGATTGTTCATAGCTGGCATATCATACAGAAACATACCAGGGGCAAATCTGGCTGTGGGTAATAGCTTCCCCACCATGGCTCTATTTTATAAGCTTTTCTTAAAGTTCTCTTTTTAAAATCAGAAATGAGTAAAATTACATATGAACTCCTGAGCTTTTCTATACTTACGCACTTTAGAGATCAAAATAAGCAAACAATACAACCCATTAATTTTACAAAAGCAAGGAGCAAGCCAAGTGTAATAAACTACTCAGATTTTCTCTTTAATTACATTGGTCTCTTTTTCTACCGCATCTCCCTTAGGATAGATTTTCCATTATGTATCTGGGAAAGCAGGCTCATGTTATCAAATAAAATATTTAGCACTGATTTGAGAAATTAGAAAGGAAATCTGATGGAGTGAACCCCAACTGAAATTCATTCTTTGACTCTTCCATGTATCCATTCACTTAAGTATATACCATTACTGGCTATGATACTGACATTTGGTAACTCTACAAGATGGTAGCAGGGACATATATTTCTGCTTTGCCCAGGATAATCCCAGATTACCTGTTGTTCTGGCTTATTTATTAAAAATATCTCCTGTCCCCCATCAGAGTGTCCCTGATTGGACAATAAATTATAAATATGAGCAGTAAAAATTTTGTTCCAAAAGTAAGTAGGAGAAGTTGACTGATATCAGGGAGTTAGAGCCAAAAGTTTTAGAAATTGGTTAGATAATTCTAGACCACCTAATTTAGCAGTCTGGCATCAGAGAAATTTGCACAGCTGATTATGAAAGTTAGTTCATCCTGTGCTGGTTAGACAGGGCAAAGCACAAAGAAACCCACTTGTAACATTAGGCTTTATACATTTTGTTATTGATCATTATTTTCTTTCTAATATAAGATTACAAGTGCTCAGTAAAAGTATTATTTAAATGCGTCTACCTAAATTGTTTCTTAACATTTGCAAGTGATATAATTGTATTCAAAGCAAGTTCAGATTGATTAAATCTTCAAAGAGCTTTTTACAAGAGTAATGAAGATAAAGTATGGGGAGGGGTTGCTACATTACAGGAACAATCAAGAAATTTAAACTGATAAGAACAGATACTACACTTGCTCGATCAAGGGCAAACACAACAAGGGGATTGGACTATGAGCACATGATAAAAGCGAGAGCACACAAGGGAGGGGTGAGGATAGGTAAGACACCTAAAAAACTAGCTAGCATTTGTTGCCCTTAACGCAGAGACACTAAAGCAGATACCTTAAAAGCAACTGAGGCCAATAGGAAAAGGGGACCAGGTACTAGAGAAAAGGTTAGATCAAAAAGAATTAACCTAGAAGGTAACACACACTCACAGGAAATCAATGTGAGTCAATGCCCTGTATAGCTATCCTTATCTCAACCAGCAAAACCCCTTGTTCCTTCCTATTATTGCTTATACTCTCTCTACAACAAAATTAGAGATAAGGGCAAAATAGTTTCTGCTAGGTATTGAGGGGGGGGAGCGGGAGGGGGTGGAGTGGGTGGTAAGGGAGGGGGTGGGGGCAGGGGGGAGAAATGAACCAAGCCTTGTATGCACATATGAATAAAAGAAAAATGAAAAAAAAAAAAAAAAGAAATTTAAGCAGTTTTAGACCTGAGCTGAGTTTAGGTAGGTCATAAGGTGATTAAATGATTTAAGAAGCTCTCAGAAGTGGAACAAATTTATCTGCAAGTTACAATAAAAATTTAACCAAGACCTTTGGTTTAATTTAGCTGAATGGAAGCAATATTTCAAGGAACTATAACCTGACAATTTATATGTGAGAGATGATGAAATGCAAAGCTGTAACAACATTCAAAAATTGCAAAAACAATTCAAATCACTCACATTTGATAGTGTATGATCCTGCTCATCTATATACCAAATTAACTGTCAACTCTTACTGATTAAACATTAATGGATACCTTAAGAATGGATTTCAGTAATCACTCTGCTTTAAGACAGTAATTGTCATCTTCGCATACCATTCCAGTCTTTTCTACACACATAGTTTGTAGATAGTGGTAATTCTAATCTATAAATGTAGCTATACATTTATCATCGATTACTGGAGATAATCCCATTGGTTTCCAGGTAAGCTTTCAGTGACCATGTTACTGTTGTTTACAAGAGCATGAAGTGAATATTAGCCTAAGCATGAGTACCAAAGCACACAGGCAGACATAAAATATTTACCTTTGTTATATATGAAATATATTCAAATGATACATCTTCAAAACAAAATTTTTTGAATTTTTTTATTGTGAGCTATTTTTAAATTTCTGTTGGCATAGAAATTATAAATGCACTATTATGCACAAGCGATTACTGGATACGGTGTTTAGAGTTACCACATACAGGTTTCTATTTCAAATATATCTTACAAATTTATTGAAATTGCATTGGAATTTACAAAACATAAATATAATTTCTTAATTAATTTCCTATTACCATTATCAGTACAGACATTCCTGGTTTTGTAAAAGGAGAATCTTAACTTGGTGATGATAAATATTAATTTAAGTTAGTTTATTTTTTCAACAATATTCATAAAGGGTAAAGGCGGACAAATATGGTGGAAGTAAAATGTACATGTTTGAAAATGGAACAATGAAGTCTGTCAAAACTGTTCTAAGAAGTAAGGAAGGGGGATAAAGGAAAAAGAGGGGGTGAACCTAACTAAGTTATATTGTAAGCACTTTTGTAAATGTCACAATGCACTCCAGGTACAACCATAATGTACCAATAAATAAAAAAAAATCATCCTAAGAATAACTATAAGAATAAGATTCTTGATTTCAGAGCTCTTAGGAGAACTCAGTAAGGACTGGGTAAAGTAGGACAAGGAAAAGAAAGAATCCAAACAAGAGTATGATTTCAGGTGATGGCCCTGACTCAGTCTGATTACATGGAAAGTTCCTGGAGTATAAATAAAGTCTCAAGATTTATCCTTCTTTCAGGCAAAGGAGAAGGACTTTTGTATCCCCCATTCATCAGCCATTGATTGTGAGCCACTGGAGGAGGACAGCTGGGGTAAAGTTTTAGGCCCTTTTGCAGCTCCTGTTGGTAAGGAGGCTTCTGGGTAGGTGCCTAGGCACCCTGACACATTTGATTGTCACCATATCAGCATTAAATAGGTGGAGTATCAACTATTCTTGATATTATAAATGAGAAAAATGAGATTCAGCTAAGTTGGTGGAACTAAGATAAGTCCATGGATCTTTATAACATTTTAGTACTACTATCAATTATGCTAATACTATCTTGTCTGTACCATGTTAATGGTGAACATTAGTAACTCTATTATGCCAGAGATACTAAATGTGGTGACAAATTTGAGTATTCAGGATTTGAATCTTATACAAAATAAACATCTGTAAGTTATTAGTTATAATCTTACTAGACAGTCAGCTGAAATTGGATTCCTTAGTTTACCATATATATTACACTTAGAATTCAATTCTAAGTGTAATATACTTAGAATTCAATATACCTGCCTTATCAGGTTTTGTAATTTCTGATGGAAGCCTTTAAATAACATTGCTTGCCTGTCAAAGAGAGCAAACATTTATTGTTTGTTTGATATTAATTAAAAATTCTGATTCTATTTATATCTGGGCTATGTACACACTTGCTGGTATAGGGCCAGCATATGAAGAATGACAACAAGTGTGCAGTAATTGCTTCACAGTATTTTCTAGTGATCTATAATGGTAAATATGTGGCACGTTTTATCATTGGTAATTATTGATAAGCATTTGAAAAGATGTTGATTCATTTGTTCTTGTATAATTTTATCTATCTATCTGTCTATCTATGTGTATATACTAAAACATAAATTAGATAATTGTGAAATAATTTGAAATTTTCAAGACAGTTTAAATATAAGGTGGAGTTACACAAATTCCTTTGGGAGCAAGCCTAAAGACATAGAAAGAGTTTGGAAAGCATCTGACTTAAACCTCTAGAGAATATGGAAATGATGAAATTCTTAATATAATGGATAATTTTCATTCTATTGTGACCCTTTAGCATATGATAGGATGATTGTCGTTACCTTTCACAGTACTGGCCTTCATATCCCCGTGGACAAGCTGTGCAGCGGTAATCATCCAGTCCTTCCATGACACAAGAAGGGCTGAAACTGAATCAGAAAACAAAAAGATTGCAAAAAAATCTTTTAACTTTAGTATTTTATAAAATTCAGTATTCTGACAATTACCAAGATGATTGGGACATTTTTTAGGAAGTGATGAATGTTCTATCTCTATTGATGAAGTTCTTATTTAAGATTACAATTAAATACTAATGATAATTCTCAACAAATATTGGTTAGTTTTGATGCATTAACAAAGCACCAATTGAACTTATTTTGAAATTTATAATTATACAACAGCCATGAAAATATTAAACATCCAACAAAAATGTCATAGTGTTTCCTAATCAAAAGAAAATTTTGACTAGTGTTTATGAACATTTGTCTGAAAGTAGAATAGGTACTCCTGGATATCTTTCAGGTATAAATAAAAAAGGAAAAAAGAGGACATAAAAGCTATAATTTTTTTTTCCTGAAACTCAATCCAAATTGCCCCTGGGACCTTAGCACATAAGTGTGAGTAGATGTTGAGCTTATAATAAAAGAGCACTTTTTCTAATTTATATCCAAATTCCATACTTTAAATACAGAGTAATATGATTTAGTGTGAGGAAAGGAAAAAAGAAAGCTTTTTAGCATGAAAATGAGTAAGATTTGCTTACTACCTCATAGTCTTTGAAAACAATTAAGTTTATACAATTTGCCTTATGTTTTCCCTACAATGCTGACAGACCACGGCCAGCCCATCTTGTTGCAGGATTTCTGATTATCTTACTCTATAAAGAAAGAATTGATGAGACTTAAAAATGTACTTTTCAGTTGTTACAAATTTCCCTTTAATGCGAATAGTTACTGAATTCCCATTAGATAAAACTACATGATGCCCTGGAAACTCTGGAAGACAAAAATTATTTGTTGCAAAATGGTCACGACAGCATCATTGTCCAATTTTTTGGTTGACAATCAGTTGAAGATTATTCTGTAAAGCAATAAGGTGGATAGACCAGGGCCTCAACTTCTTTGGGTTAGGTGTGTTTAGGACCCTATTTTAACTATCTTTAAATTCACTAAATCAATCTTGTAAGAGGTGCTCGAATTGCTTTTGCTGAAAAGCAGTGACTCCTTACTTGGGCCCATGAATTAACTTAAAACAAGAGGAGCTTGGCATTCTTGCCTCCATTTTGCATCTGTCTTTGGTCTAAGCCATTGTCCTTGTAGTCACTTTGCAATCATCTTGGATTCCAGAAAGGATAGGACTGATAACACCTTTATGACAATGGACTGTAACTTCCTATAAGGAACAGTGGAGACTCGTAGGACAGACCATTCCTCGAATCGAGGACAATTGCCTATAATGAAGAGGTTGCACCCTGCAGCAGAAGCAATAATCTCATGGAAACCAGATTGCTCCCCCTCAAGTGATGACAGTGATAACATCTTTTCTGGAATCCCTCTGGGAACACTTGGACTGAGATAATGGTCAACTAGAGCACACCTATGACTGGGACTGTTTAACTATGCATACTTTTGTCCCTTGCCCCCAGTTCTTTTGTCTACTTAAACCTATAACTCATGTCTGTACCCCAAAGATGGCCGAAGATGAGCTGAGTGATTGCTCTACCTCTTCCCATGTGTGTCCTGAGTTGTGTAATAAACCTCTTTTTCTGCCTCCACCATGCCTCTTCGGGTGTTCGGAGTGGGTGGCGGCCAGACCTGGCGTATGAATCTCAGGAGTTTGGGCCTTGGGTCCAAAACTCCTATTTCAACAGTATAGGAATGAATACTGAACTCTTAATTTTTGCAAAATATGTGAACAAACGAATCTACTGCTCACAAACTTGCTATCCAACAAATTTATTTTTGCCTTCACAAAAAAATAGACCCACCAACTCATAATTGACAGTCTGTCAAGTTTTTAGTTCTTTAATTTAAAACTTGATGCTAGTGCATCTGTGTGTGCACACATTCATACATGTATGCCCTAAGAAATAGATTTAAGATATTTCAAATGCAACTGTAGATAGTCAACATAATTAAATTACATTCATTTTCAGAAATAAGTTATTGATGAAGTTTCATGATCAATGATGAAAGTAAACACTACTTTACAAAGGTTTAAGTTAATAGTTTTAAGAAATTTCAAGAATAATTTTAAAAAGAATACCACCAAGGTTGGTTAGCAGAATCAATAAAGAAGAGCACCTTCATTTTTGCTCCATATTTATTGTATAATTCAAGTATAATTTTTATGCAAAAAAACCCTGAAAGAATCAAAGAATCAAATTAAAGTGACTAGTTCAGTGGCATTCAAACTTTGATGCAAACACTGTAAGAAATACATTTTTATATCATGACCCAATACTCAAAAACTTGTATGTATAGATACCAAAATACAATATATATGATTTAGATATACTCTGTTTTATTTCATTTATCTCAGAGTTTTAGAAAAACTTAGTCAAAAGTCACTAACTGATTTCATAACTCACTTATCTGACCTCCTGAATCTTGAAACATATTAGTCCAATTAACAAAAATCTATGTATGATGAGAAGAGAAGGATTGAAGTGTGAGGAGAACACCCAGGGCAAAGAAAGGCACTTCCTCCTGATGTATAAAAATAAACTCTGAGGTTTAGATGGAGGGGTTGAGAAATCTCATTTTAATGATTTCACTTTGAGTATTCTATGAGAAATAAAGTGTGGGGAAGTTGTGGTGTGTGATTACTGACCCACTTCTACAGTATCGGGTCAAGTCTCTACCATCTCTTATCAAAACAAATATGGCAAACTTTGAATGGAGAAGCAGCACTCACATACCCTGTGGTTTCCCACCACACATCCAAAGAATGGGAAAGGTCAGGCTTTTTAACAGAGCATCAGAAATCCTCCACTCTCCCTTCTATCTCTCCAGGCTCAATGCTTCACTCCCTTCTACATGATGCTAAGCTTGGCATTTCTTTCTCTTTTCCAAATGCTCAGAAATCTTTATTCTTATAATTCCCTGAGACAATCCCTGTGAAATCTAATCAATTTTTAATGGCCCAATTCAAGAACCATTTCTGCTACAATCATTGCATAGTATAGCATGTGATTTTACTTTTTGTATACTGCTAATGCATTTTATCTCATATCTTTGAATTTTAATCAAATTTTCTTTAGAAATTGAGCATTTACTACATAGTCACTATTCCATTCCAACACCCTGCATAACAGATAAAGTATATATATCCTATCTTATATTTGAATATATATCACATATACTTGTAAATTCTTTGAAGACAGAGATAGAATTATTTATCCCTTCACGCACCAAATATTTAATAGGGTTCAACTCAATGCCAGGCATGGTTCTTCATGCCAGGAATGTATAAGCAAGCAGACCAGTCCTAGATTCTGCCTCCCCATAGCTTACATTTTTCATAAGAATAGCAAAAGATAAATATATAATGTAATCAGGGGGTGACAAGTGATACCAGGAAAGATAAAGCAACTTTAGTGAATTTATAGTGGCTGGATGTCATTTTAGATAGAGTGGTCAGTGATCCCATGAAGATACTCTAGCAAGCCATTTGAATATCTGTGAGAAGAGAAGTGCAGCCAAGGGCAGAAAGTATACTGGCCCAGAGACAGGCCTGTGCTTGGTCCATGCTTGGCAGACAGCAGAGGTCAGAGCATCTAGAGTAGAGTGAATGAGAAGGAGGGTGGCAGAAATGATAACTAAATATAGTGAAGGCTAAGAGGTGGCTTAGTATAAGATCATGCAGATGTCACCGATGATAGTACATGTGGAGTGTGAGAGAACAAAAGGGACAAAGTTGACTATATTTTGTTTTGACAGAACAAATTGACTAAGATGAAGAAAATTATAGAATGGTCAAGCGTATTTTTTTGGAGGCGGGAAAGCACAGTTTTAGATGTTAAGATAAAATACTTAAAGCCCTCAAGAACGAATAAAGTTCTTTAGAGGAAATGGGATGAGAAATTCAAAAACCCACTGCGAAGCAAATTAAGAGATCAAGGACATGATAAAGATCCAGCAAAGGAACCTGAGAAGGAACAACCAGTGCACGGGGACAAAAACGGGAAGAAAATGGTTTGTAGGAAGCCAGTTCATCTCTGCAGAATCCACAGGAGATCACAGAGGGAACAGACTGTAAATTTTTAGAAATTTGGTTGAGGGAAGTGTGGAATTAGTCAACCAAGGAAATGTAATAGATGACCCACAAGAGAAAAGCAAAAGGATTTCCGAGTGGTCCTGCAGATGAAATGAGAATTGAGAGCAGACTGGGGAGTTGTAAGCAGAAGGAATCAACTTCAGACAAGATGTTCCCTCATTCAGAAGCCCTTTTATGTATTATAAGGAAAAAAGCACAACCCATCATAAAATCATAATTTAAAAATGTTTCTTCACAAGAATTACTACACTAATTTAGGGTTGAGTGTTCTTGCCTAGCCTGCCCCAAGGCCCTCAGCTTCCAGTTTGGCTTGATCGCACTGCCATAACATATTTCAAGATATATATCTAATAATTCAATCATTAAATCTCATTTAATATCATAAACCAAAGCTTATATATGAATCGATATGTTTTTACCTTAATTATATAGTGTCGGTTATCCTAAATAGTAATGTGGTGAGGTCTTTGGGAGGGTGCGAGGAGGCCTAATACCGTTTATGCACCGGAAATGAATAATTTGTGTCATGGTTACCGTCTGCTTTATTGTTTATTTATTCGATGCTATGATGGAATTCAAAATTTTATACAAGTAAGACTTACAAAAGAAATTGTTTTATCATACTAATATGCTAAAGAGAAGAGAATTATTAATAGAAAGTCTTTCTGAGGTTTTCAAATGTTACTTAGATGGAATTCAAGATGAACAAGTGCTTCATGTCAAGGGAGTGGAATAGGACATGAAGTAGCTGAGGAATGTAAATCCATTATGTTGGCTATCTAGAGTTGCATTTGAAATGTCTAAAATCTATTTCTTAGGCCCTATCTAACTATCTATAAACATGTGCATGCATGCGTGTGCACACACAGATGTACTAGCATCAAGTTTTAAATTAAAGAGCTAAAAGCTTGACAAACTGTCAATTATGAGTTAGTAGGTCTATTTTTTTGTGAAGGCAAAAAATAAATTTGTTGGACACCAAGTTTAAAAGGCATAGGCACTGACTTCCTCAGCAACTAAGAGAAAGGATTGACAAATAGGATTACACAAAATTAACAAGCTTCTGCTTGTTACACAAAATAACAAGCTTCTGCTTGTTAATTTAGAGAAATAGTCTCTAAATTGAAGAGGTCACCCACAGATAGGGAGAAAATCTTTGCTAACTGCACATCTGACAAGGGATTAGTAACCAGAATATACTGGGAGCTCCTCCAAAATCAATGACCCAAATGAAGAAATGGGCAAATGAACAGAACAGAGCTTTTTTCAAAGGAAGAAGTCCAAATGGCTAAAAAAAACACATGAAGAAATGTTCAACATCCCTGGAACATCAAAACCATGTTAAGTTTCCACTCCTGTTAGAACACAAACAACGACAAATGTTGAAGAGGGTGTGGGGAAAAACAAACCCTTATATGCTGCTGGTGAGAAAGTAAATTAGTACGACCATCATGGAAAACAGTATGGATGCTCCTCAAAAAACTAAAAATAGAACTGCCATATGATCCAAAAATTCTACTCCTAGGGATATACCTGAAGGACTGTAAGTCCAGTTACAATAAAGGCACCTGCACACCCATGTTTATCGCAGCACTATTCACAATAATTAACCTGTGGAAACAGCCAAGATCCCACACTACTAATGAGTGGGTTAAGAAAATGTGGTACTTATACACAATGGAATTTTATTCAGCCAAAAAAGAATGAAATTGTTTTGTCTACAGGTAAATGGATAAAACTGGAGGACATCATCTTAAGTGAAGCTAGCCAGGTTCAGAAGGCCAAAAAGCTGCATGCTTTCTCTTATATGTGGAATATAGACCTAATACAAATATACCAATATTATGAAAAAACAGGTCATGCTATGGGGAAGTCACATATGAGAGGAGGAGCATAAAAAAAGGAAGTTAAGAAGGTGAATATGGTTGATGTACTCTGTATACAAAAATGAATATAGAATTTTAAAACTGTTGAAATCACCATAAGAAGGGGACTAAGGTAGAAAGAAGAAAAGTAGAGGAGATGAACCAATTCAGGTTATATTATTTATATATATTATATATTATACAATGTACAATATATTCCATATACATACATGTATATATATATGTGGAAATGTCAACAAGGAAACTCTCTGTGTAGCTACCTTAAAACAATGAAAATGTCAATTTTTTTTCCTTATAGAAAATTGGAGAATAGGAGGGCAGAGCAGGTCCTGATGGGAGAATTAGTACCAGTGAGAGGAGGGAAAGAGTGGGGAAGGGGTATGGGAGGGTGAATGTGGTGCAAATACTGTGTATGTTGTGGAAAAATGATAATGTTGAAACAGTTCCAGGGATGGGAGGGGAGGATAAAAGAGAATGGTGGAGGGAGTGGAATTCAAGTATGGTATATTTGATATGTTGGAAGAACTTTTGTAAATGCCACACAATGTACATCACCCAGCAACAATAAAAGAAAGAGGGGGAAAAAAAGCATAATTTGCCTTTCTTTGGCAGCAGTTCTACTGATTTCCCTAGTTTAGTTCAATAGCTCCATCATAGCTCTTATCATTTTGGGAGGTAATTGGCCAAAATGCCTGAACTCACTCCTCACATCTAAGAGTTTCTATTCTAACAGACTGTATTTAACAAGGTTCTCACATTCACCGGTCTTCACTTTTGTTACCATTACCTCCTTTCAGGTTCTAATTATCTTTTGTCTAGGTTATGGCAAAGCCTTTTAATTGGTCTCATTGCTTTTCTTCTTTTTGCCTGTTCCAATTCACTACAAACACACAATTCTACCATAATAGTCTTCCTTAAATGTGACTCTGATCATATTAAACTTTCTTTTTTCAAAAAATAAAAACTTGCATTTCTTTTATTATGTAGAAAATTGAACAGCAATTTCTTAGACTGGTACTCTAGGATTTCAGCAATATGGCCTCCATTCTCCCATTTATTTTCATCAGTAATTGTGAAATTCTTTCCAAACGCCATGTTCAAAACTATCACTTACAAGCTCTTAAACATCTCTTGTGTTTTCTAAGCTTTTGTCCGTATAATTTCCTCCTATCCTCACCTGTAAAATCCCTCACCCATTCTTGGTAATCTAATACATCTGTTAACTACTTCTTTTACAATATCCTTGAAACTTCCAAAATTAAGTATGGTATTTTGTGCCTTTGAATTCTCTTAACATTTAAGATAATTTCTTTAAAGACCCATGTTTTTACAAAATTGTTTCTCCAAGAAATGGCAAGGATTGTCTTTCCTGTCTCCTGTAGCCTTTATTAGAGTGTACCCAATAGGGAATTATTAATTAACTACTGATCTATTCTAACTGAAATGGTTCGCATTTTAAAAACAGTGAAATAAATGATTCTTTTTGTTTTAGTATGGGCATCAGAGAGTGCATAGAGAAAGGGATATGAAAAATAACATGTTTTGCCCATCTATCATTTGAAACTTGGATGAATTATCTGATAATGTTTGCTATCCACATCAATATTCAACATACTTAAAAATTTACATTTGATACCCTAGAAAAGCCTTTTGATTGTGGTCAACAAAAAGAGGAGCTTGCGGAGGAAAAGGAGACAATTTCTACAAAAATGTTTCTAGAACGTATACAAAGCTAAAGACTGAGAAACAAAGTGAGTAGCACAGGTGGAAAGTCACTTGTCTGAAATGCTTTGTGGTTTTTTTTTTTATATTCACAAAAAGGTATCCAGAATTCTAATTCTGGGTAAACTGCCATACCTTCTTTTCAAAAGCAAATTCTTAGAGAAAATGTACTTTACCATGCGGAGATTGAAGCCTGTAAATCACTTAACAGAAAGTATAGATAGTCTTAGCAAAAAGGTAAATGAAAACACCTAGGGGTTTTCATCAATATATAAACCAATGCAGAATGTTCAGACAGCCTGGAAATAAGACATTCCAGCATTTTTTCCCCCTTATGGCTGTTTCCATGGCACCAAGCTCAGACTATTTTAACAGAAAGGGAATGTGATTCTGGCAGATTTTGTGTTTGGACCCTAACAATAAGTCACCTTGCTTTCATTGTGCTACTTTTCCACTGTTTCCTTGATAATTATTTCTCAATCTTGCACTTAATATACAAAATGAATGGAAATAGCCACAAAAGTGATGTAGTATGCACCCAAACAATCTTTCAATGCTGAATTTATGGCAGAACTATATGCAAACACTAGGCCTGTACATTTATAAAGCCGTGCATATTTGTACATATATCATTTGTTTTATAAACACATCCTATATGAGTTTTGATTTTTATATTTTAATTAATAAGTATTATTTATTTGGGGCATGGTTTTAAAGGACCAATGAACCATAAAGAATAAATATTGACTTTTTTGTCATGTTTTTATATTATTAAAATTCTATCTTAAATTGAGATTTTTGTCTGCATGGAAAAAATAGGCAGACTGTAGACAGTCCATGTGCTAGACAGATGGCATTACTGATTGGAAAATATGGCTACATTTCTCAATCTTACTTGTTGCTGGAAGAAATCAGAGGGCAAGCACATTGCTGGCAGTCATTTGGCAATCCCTTGACAATTCCATAGTAGCCAAGAGCACATCGCTCACAGAAATCACCAGTAGTGTGATGCTGACAATTCTATAAAGGAAAAGGGAGAAAAGTTTCCTTTTAGTTTAGTGAAAGATAATATAATTTATCATACAGATCCCCACCTATGAGTGTGTAGCTGTGAACATGCACACACACTTTATCATTAGTAATTTTTGATATAAATATTTTAAAGAACCTTTTCATTTAAGAAACTAATACTGGGCTATTGTAACTATATGGATAATAAGAGCTTCTGTGCTCTTTCCCCTACATCAATTTCTGTGTACACTTTTCTTTTACTTTAAATAGGGGACTAGAAATTGAAGAATCTCTATAATGTGTTATGTCATCTGGCCATTTATATTGTTGGAGCCAACGTGGCTATTTTTCTGGGATTTACTGTGTGCCTTTAATTCCCTACTGTGGGGGCTACAAGCAGCTTTCTGCAAGCTCAAAAGTGTCACAGACCTCCAGCTAGGCTCTGCAAGGTTTCCTGTAACTGTGACCATAGTTTGTAGGGAGGTTGAGGGGAAACTCTGTACCAACTTGTTTCTCTGTAACTGGCTTGTCTTTCTGACCACCTGTGAACTATATACTGCAAAACCAGCCTGGTTACATAAGCCACCTGGGGGGTGTATAACTCATCTCCTGACACTAATTGGGGTCAGGCTTTGAGAATTTATCTCCCCTAAATCTGCTAGCATAATAAAAATCCTGCTTCCTGCAAAGTGGTCTCAGTGACTTTGTTTCCCTCGCCATTTCCCGCAACAATATTTCTTTTCTTCCCAGGTTTTAGCTCTACGGGGTGCTGGGAAAAATGCTTGAAAACTGGGACCTTGGCACAACCCCACAAGTGTGCTTTTTGAAGCCAGCCTAGGAAGAAAGCACAAAGATTTTAAGAGACAACAAGACAAAGAGGTCAGCCCTGTTACTGCATTAAGAATGTCATTTATTTATTTATTCCCAAATGGTGGTGGTTTATATAGAGGATCCAAGCTGAAACCAGCATCCTTAGATCAATATTTTTGCTTGTATGCTTACATAATAAGAAATATTGGGGTGATATGCTTTAAGACACTTCCGTAAGGAAAAGAGAAGAGTTTCAATATTTGCCAATTATACATCAGACAAAGGACTGATAACCAGAATATACAGGGAACTTAAAAAACTAAATTCTCCCAAAACTAATGAACCAATAAAGAAATGGGCATGTGAACTAAACAGAACTTTCTCAAAAGAAGAAATTCAAATGGCCAGAAAACACATGAAAAAATGCTCACCATCTCTAGCAATAAAGGAAATGCAAATTAAAACCACACTAAGATTCCACCTCACCCCTGTTAGAATAGCCATCATCAGCAACACCACCAACAACAGGTGTTGGCGAGGATGTGGGGAAAAGGAACCCTTTTACACTGTTGGTGGGAATGTAGACTAGTACAACCACTCTGGAAAAAAATTTGGAGGCTACTTAAAAAGATGGACATCAATCTACCATTTGATCCAGCAATACCACTCTTGGGGATATACCCAAAAGACTGTTACTCCAGAGGCACCTGCACATCCATGTTTATTGCGGCACTATTCACAATAGCCAAGTTATGGAAACAGCCAAGATGTCCCAGCACTGACGAATGGATTAAGAAAATGTGGTATCTATACACAATGGAATTTTATGCAGCCATGAAGAAGAACGAAATATTATCATTCGCTGGTAAATGGATGGAATTGGAGAACATCATTCTGAGTGAGGTTAGCCTGGCTCAAAAGACCAAAAATCGTATGTTCTCCCTCATATGTGGACATTAGATCAAGGGCAAACACAACAAGGGGATTGGACTATGAGCACATGATAAAAGCGAGAGCACACAAGGGAGGGGTGAGGATAGGTAAGACACCTAAAAAACTAGCTAGCATTTGTTGCCCTTAACACAGAGAAACTAAAGCAGATACCTTAAAGCAACTGAGGCCAATAGGAAAAGGGGACCAGGAACTAGAGAAAAGGTTAGATCAAAAAGAATTAACCTAGAAGGTAACACCCACACACAGGAAATCAATGTGAGTCAATGCCCTGTATAGCTATCCTTATCTCAACCAGCAAAACCCCTTGTTCCTTCCTATTATTGCTTATACTCTCTCTACAACAAAATTAGAGATAAGGGCAAAATAGTTTCTGCTGGGTATTGAGGGGGGGAGCGGGAGGGGGTGGAGTGGGTGGTAAGGGAGGGGGTGGGGGCAGGGGGGAGAAATGAACCAAGCCTTGTATGCACATATGAATAATAAAAGAAAAATGAAAAAAAAAAAAAAAAAAAAAAAAAGAGAAGAGTTTCAGAGTGTGTGTAATTAATTTTGAAGTTACGATTCTCATTAAGCAGTATTATATTTAACATAAAATAATCTTAGGAAGAACTACCTCTAAGGCACTGAGAAAATCAAGTGAGGGGAAGAAGGAAAAATAATAACCTACCCTGTAGGAATTTATTTCCACTTTAGGAAAGAAAACAAAAAAAGCCTGACAAGTAACAACATGACAACAAAGTTGCAATATTGAATGTTTTTTAACAAAACTGTAAATTGCTAGGTATGATGTCCACATCTGTAATCCCAGCTATTTGGGAGGTGGAAGCAGCGGAATTGTTGAGTTTTATGCTGCTGGGTCAAAAGTAGATCTTATTTTGAGACACTGTCTCAAAAGACAAATACAAAAACAATCAAAGGGATTGGGGCGTCAGTAACTCAAGTGCTAGCGTGTTTGTCTAACATGCATGAAACTCTGGGTTTAAAAAAAAAAGTAACACTTGATTTTGGTGAGTTGAGAGACTAAAAAGTAGCTGATTTTGCACTGCATTTCAGCTTGATTTCCTAAGACAGGATTTGGAGAGTTCAGAGCAATGACTGACGTCTTATAAATATGATAGAAAGAAAAGTTGAGGACCAAAACAGTCAGTAACAAAATCGATGTACATGTTCGTGATGTCATTTAACCAACTCAACTGGAGCCACAGAGCTGTCTTGAGACTGCTGAACTGGATGGCTCTTTGTTTCATTTAATCATGAAAAATGCATTTTTAAAAAAATCTGTCTCCTGATAGCAAACAGTGTTTGCTATGGGAGATATAGTCTCTCACAACAAACAATAACTGAAGTCACTTCTACCATAGGTGTAGCCGTGGACTTTTAATTTTCTTTAGAATTTTGAATACTCATTTTGAGAGGTTACACTATTTCTCTGCAGAGAAACCATGACATTGCCACTATTAATTTAGACCATAGGACTTTTACATTTCTGGTGCTCTGTTTGAAAAGATATTGAGTCACTTGCAGATGCATTTTACAACTTCATATAAAATGGATCTATCTTTCTCCATATGACAAGTACAAGTCTCAATTCTTCTGAGTGACTATTTTACCCTCAGCAGATTTAGCTCTCAATCTGATAGCAAAGCCCTCATTTGCTCCCACAGTTTCCTCTGTTTGCCTGATTATTTTCCATCTCTTTAAAGCTACTGTCTGACTAATCTGGTTTTCTTTCCCCTACCTCCCCATTTTCTCCAGCATCTTCATTCTCTCCTTTGTTGACATATTCCCACTAGCATTTGAAGTTGGTCAAGGCTTTCCTACCTTAAAAAAGTCTATGGGTTTCACATCCCCTCACAGCTTCCATTCTGTCTTTTGTAAGCATTTAAGAAGCACTATTTACATTCCTGATTTCTTCAGCTTCTTCCTCTGCACCCTTTAAATAGGCTTTTTATCTCACCATTGAAACATAATTCCAGATTCACCCATAAGATTTTTGTTGCTAAGCTGAAAGTTATTGACAATAATAGGTTCTTAAGATATATGGATTTTCTGTAACATCTAACACTTCTGGCCACTCTTTGAAACTTTCTCTATGGTTTCTTTAATGGTATAATCTGATGATTTTGATTTTTCTTTTACCTCTATGGCTACTCTTTCTTATTTTTCTTCATAGACTTTTCATTCTCTTTCTGTTTAGTAGGATTGATTTCATAGATTCTAACTTACTATCTCACCCTTTTTTCCTCCAACATATTGCACCCTGGTGAAATCATCCATTACAAAAAGTTTTACCACTCAGTCACCTCCCCCACAACCTCGTCCTCCAGACCTACATTTCTAATAGCTTCTTAGAGAGATTTTATCGCATCTTGAACTTGAGGTGTCAATAATTAAGTTCATGTTTCAATATCTTTCAAGCTACTAATACACTTGTGCTTCCTGGTTCAGTTGGGGGTCGCTGTCATCTACTCAGTTGCCCAGGTCAACAACCAAGAATACTCTTATTCCAGATATCTGGAATAAGATTTGCTACTGTTCCACAATTTTATTTCCCTTTGCTTCTTGATTTCCTTGTTATATCTGGTGACTGTGATTTTTTGGTCTGGGTTATTCGGATAGCCTTTTAGCTAAAGATCCCGTTTCCAAGTGTTCTTACACAGTGATTTGGAAACAGGAACTAGGGGATCATGCTGCGGACATACCAAACCGTGCCCTACTCCTGCTTGAAACTCTGTTTCAAACCGTGCCCTACTCCTGCTGGGTCTTCATCACCATCAGAATGGATTACACACTCCTTAGCATGGCAAGGAAGACCTTTGTAGTCTAACTTCTGCTTCCTCCAATGACATTACTTCTAGCCATTGGTTTCTTGCACACCATGCTAACCATATGAGACCGTCTGAAACTCTCAAATTATATGTTTATCTCTTCCCTCCAGGACTTTTCATTTGCAACCCCTTGTTCTGTAACGTTTTTTTCCCTGTTCTGGCCTGTATACCTCATTTCAGCTTTCGTTTTAAATGTCGTTTTCTCTGATAAACATTATCTGTGTCGTAAATTTGATTCACCTGCTTCTTCGAGCATAATACAGTGAATGAAATAGAATAGCCATTCGGTGACTCTTTGAATGACTAAATGAATGACTGCATGCTCTAGGCAGTTTTGATGAAGTTTGTCAGGCATTTTAAGAAAAAAAAAAAGGTCAAGTTTCAAGTTTAATAACTACAGAAAAGTGGTCAGCAGGCCAA